TTTTTCAGCAGTTATCGGTAATTCATATTTTTCATGAGTTTTTGATGCTGTGTTTAGATGCCTGGTGTGTTACCTACAGTAATTCTTCCACTCTCATTTCCACAGAGTGCAGGGCTGCAGACAAAGTGAATCAGACTGCTGGAGATGTCCTTGCATCTGAAAAAGGATCAGTGACAATTTACTGTAACTATGAAACTAGCACCTCCAATGCTTACTACCTCTTCTGGTACATCCAATATCCCAATGAGGCTCCGAAGTACATGCTGAGAAGAGGGAATTATGGACAAGTTGATACTGCTCCAGAGTACAAGGAGAGATTTAATGCCAATCTGGACAAAACTGCAATGACTGTACCTTTAATAGTACAGAATGTTCAGCTGTCAGACTCTGCTGTGTATTACTGTGCTCTGAGGCCCACAGTGAGAATAACCTTCTCACACCCTCTACAAAAACACCTGTGCGATAAGACTGTGACATAACAGAGTGAAAGGTTCTTATACAGGTTTAAATAACTTATTTTACAAATAAAATTGTAAAACATTATTAATGCTCAGATAATAGCATAATTACATGTACTAGCATTATTATTTTAAAAAAGCTCATTTTGGAAATGCTTATGATAGAACTGTAAATTAAAATTAAATAAAATAATATAAAATAAAAATATTCTGACGATTTCTTTGAACATGAAAATTGAATTTGAATATATCCTCTGTTTTTAATGACCGTCGTGTTTGAGTATAATGTTCACCACTGAAAAAAATGTATAAAGGTTAAACTTATGCAGACACTGCACCTCACTGCATATTTATTTAAGGGAGGTGGGTGAGGAGATCTGGGGGGCAGGGAGGGGCACTCTCGGGGACCCCACTCTCCCGACTCCGGACTCCAACTTCCCCTCTGATCGCCGTCTTCCCTCCTCTCTGGTTCAGACCCAGCTCGCCTCTCCCACCTCAATTCTGCCCCCACTTTGCTTGTTTGCCTCACTGCTGTAATAAACTCAGAATCGCAAGTCTCCTGAATGCTGTGTGTTTCTTACAAAAATAAATTCCACATTTCTATAACACACGGATATAATCAGTTATACAGCAGCTAGACTGTAATCTAGACTGTCAGAGCTGATCTGTACATAATAACATGTTTCAATGATAATAATAATGATAATGGACTCCTCTGGAAGTATATAATAAGGTAAAACATAATTATGTAATCTATTGCTTAATGGGCAGTATAATTTCTATCTTTGTTTTGCAGTAGGAGTAGGTGCAGATAAAGTTGATCAGCCTCCTTTGATTAATTAATTTCCTAGAGGCAGTCAAAGCTGGACTGACATGCAGCCATGATATTAAAAACGTCAATTCTATGAACTGATATGTACAGCATCCAAATAAAGCTCCTGACCCTCTCGTTTATGGGTATGATACAGATTTTCCTAAAGGAAGATTCTCAATGGATGTGGACAGAAAAGAACATCTGACCAGCCTCTCCATCAGTGACAGTAGGACAGAAGACACAGCTGTGTATTACTGTGCAGTGCAGCCCACAGTGACACTGAGTGTGTGTCTGATGGTACAAAAATTAAGTTACAGCTTCTGGATCAACAGACATTTTTTACAGTTAAAGCTATGTGACCAGACCCCTCCCACACCACAGCCTAAATATACCCACAGAATAACCGAGGCTGTACATTTAGGTTCAAGTCATCTACCCTCCAGGAGTGACAATGTTAACGTCACGTGAGAAGATTCAGCTTCTTGTAGCAGTGCTGCTAACCATGACATTCTGTAAGTATGTGAAACCTCATGGTCAGTATTGGATGGTAGTTTCATTATCAGTGTTCCTTT